CCAAAGTAACGGTTAATTTTTAAACGGATCATATAACGAAAGGTGTACAAAAATAAAAAATTAATTATTAAACTGTGAAAGCAAGAATATGATTTTTTTTGCACGAGAGTATTCATATTATCATTGCTTTTTTATCGTGTGATACCATTCGTACAAAAAAATAGCCGTGTCGCGTGCCGTTTTTTTCTTCACATTTCTTTTTGAAAAGTATAATTGTTAAAAATGCTAGATATAATACGAAAGTATTGTATTTTATGAATATTCACATAATACGATTGTTAGTATGATTAATTATTCATAAAGTTTCGTATTATATTTAGCATTTTGCACGATTACGTTTCAAAAAGGAATGTAAAGAAGAGCGGCACGCGACACAGCTATCTGCCTGTACGAGCTTCGGTAAGGGAATGACTGCACGGAAACTACGCACAAACATGACGCGCCGCTCCGTGCCACCCCGTGCCTTCCCCACTTCAAGGTCGCGCGCCGATCATCAACTGTCGAAATATTACCGTTAACGTATATTTTAAAATTAGTAAAATAATCTACTCGTTTTATTACGTTTTAATATTCTTCGATGAATTACACGATGCTTTATTATCGATTTATTATATGATTTACGTTTTAGTTCTTGAATTCGTTACGCGCATAATTATATCTTAGGCTGATATTCATAGTTACAGCTTATATGTATTCAAGACATCTTAAGTACAATTTTAAGAAAAATCACGAATCAGAGAGCCATATTAGACATTACTTAAGATAGTCTTGAAATAAGACCGGACTATGAATATCGCCCTTAGATATCTCTAATTTATATATCTGTAAATGTATAATATGAAAATTCTATTTATATCCATTGTTATATTTGGTCCAAATTGTTTTATGATTTAAAAAATGTTTGCGTTTATCTTTATTTCAGAAATGTATAACTTATTATTCAACTTTATTCGACTGTAAATTATCAAAGAAAGCAATAAAGATTGAAATATAATTCTTAGTACACACCTTAGATTTAAGCAACATTACTATTCCGTTATGAAATTAATCATCAATCCGCGTTCGTAAATCTCATTTTCGTAGATTAATGCGCAACACCCGGAACGATGCCATGCGTGCGTCTCCCTTCGCGGTCGCCGAGCGAATGCCGAAGTGATGACGTAGCCAACCACCGCGGCACCGCCACGCTCACCCCTCCCCTTCTTTTCGCCGCGCGACTTTTTCTCGCGCTTTTTGCCTGCTTTTTGCGCCGTTTAGATTATACCTAACTGCGTATGAAAAATATTAACGGTTTATTCAATTATTATTCGCATTTTGACAAACGGTTATTGTCGTACATTTCGCGCTTTGCTCTGTGGCAATTTCTAGGGCATTTCTAGCCCTTGTTAAATCCTGTATATGTTATAATATTTGAGCAGTTCTTGTATTTTTTCAGCTAATAAATTAATTTATGACACTGCTATTGCTGTAAATCATTCTGTGTTTTAAAAATTCTGGAAATTTACGTATAATGCCAATCTAGCTGAAAAAATTAAATAATGATTCGCAAGATATTTAATATTTTTAGCCAAAGCTGCATTTAGCGCAAATTGTTCCGCAATATTAATAAAATTCGCATGTATCTTTAGATAAAAGATGTATAGAATATTATCAACCTTTACTTAATTATTTATGAATCATTTAAAAGAATAATAAAAATTGAGACATAATGTTGGAATGTCGAATATATACTCCACGCAAACACAAGTACTAATTACAAGAACCGCTCAAATATTATAACATATACAGGATTTAACAAGGGCTAGAAATGCCCTAGAAATTGCCACAGAGCAAAGCGCGAAATGTACGACAATACCCGTTTGTCAAAATGCGAATAATAATTGAATAAACCGTTAATATTTTTCATACGCAGTTAGGTATAATCTAAACGGCGCAAAAAGCAGGCAAAAAGCGCGAGAAAAAGTCGCGCGGCGAAAAGAAGGGGAGGGGTGAGCGTGGCGGTGCCGCGGTGGTTGGCTACGTCATCACTTCGGCATTCGCTCGGCGACCGCGAAGGGAGACGCACGCATGGCATCGTTCCGGGTGTTGCGCATTAATCTACGAAAATGAGATTTACGAACGCGGATTGATGATTAATTTCATAACGGAATAGTAATGTTGCT